TGAACATCAGGCAAGTTATAATGAGGTTCTGTTTGAAGCCGTTCGCCTCCAAACAAATGCCGAATAAGAAGGACAGGGAGATGGATCATAGTCCAGTTTGTAGAATTTGTATTTGTGATTAATTGGTGATATTAAAATAGTATTAATGATAGAGCAAATCAATAAATAATTTCCGTATATAAAAACTAATTTTAAATAGTTTTGGAACGTGATTGGAGAAATGTTAAAAAACAAGTTAGGAATGAGCCTTGGTCTGAAGATGTTACAGAAATCGGCAAAATTTGTTTACAATTGAACTGAAGAAATGAATAATTGTATAGAAGGAGATCAGGATGATCTCTTACAGACTAATGTCAATGGCTAGCCAACTTAATGAAGAATTATGAATGGAGAACTGATGTGATAAAGTGAAATTAAAAATACCTATTCTTGGAATGATCTGAGAGACGCTAGTATTCCACCTACATGAAGAGCATCCTTATCCCGAAAAGAAACGAATGATTGAACGAGGTGCTATCGACCTCTCGTCCACTGAGACTATTTACTGAGAAATCCAAAACTAACAAAGCAGTAGGCGTTGTAGTATTCAGCAGAAACCACCCAGTTAAAATATCAATAAATAAACTAAAGCACGAATTCTTTTGCTGCATTCTTCCAAGAAGATATGCTTGCTCAAAAATTTGATGCGATAGAGCTGGTAAATCTTCATCTTTAAAACAATGCTGCTTCACGGAGGACAAAAACAATTAATACTTATAATGCGGATATATCGAAGCAGTCTGGAACTTGTTCATGAATAATCGAAAAAAGGTAGCACCACCTTTATTTTAAAAGTAAGGCAAATCGATATCATATATATCTTAAATCTTACCAAATATTTAGGCTTATATCTTATGTATTAAAACCAATGAGAAATATTTTTAATAAATATATTATAAATAAAATTTTGAAAAAATGGTCAATTATCTAACCCTAACCCTAGCTAACAATCTGGGGATTAGAATACATGAGTTATAATACCCCAGGATGAAATGTGGAAAAGATAGTTGTGTGACCAAAAAACAGTGGTATGCAGATTGTTTCAAAACTTCCAGAAGGAACTAAAATATGAGAATATAGGCCTAGAACCAAGAATACTCTTAAAGTTTTTGCATCTTTCAGCCAAAAATTAAACCTATTAGTATAAGCATCCAGTTTATTGTCGATAAAACCTCTCTCGGGCAAGATAATGTCATCATGTCCTATAACCAAGCAGCTATCAAAAAGTTTAGTTCTTACGTAATAAAATGGTTTATAATTTCTGTAAAGGTAACCAGTCTAGTTTGAATCAAATAGATAAGTTTGGTTGGAATGACAAAGAAAACAAATGGTCACAAGAAAATATTCAGAAAATGTGGATAGCACCAGGAAAAAAGAAACCAACGAATTAAATGCATGAGTTAGTATGGAATTTCCTAGCATCATAATGTAAACGAATAACATAATTATCAAACCTTTTATTTTTGATTTGCACTAAAATTTTTTCATTGACATTTTTCTTATAGATTAGATCAAAGTAACACTTTATTATCCGAAATTTCAACGTCTAGAAGGACTGGACTATAAGAAGCGATGGGAAATGGGCTCACTAATAGCCCGTGCTTCTAGGAGACATGGCAGCCTTGATCTGCTCAGGAGCTAACCCAATTACATAGTGGTGCATTAAATATCATGAAATTCTCATGAAGGTTCGAGAGATATGAGGCATGACACGAGTTGATGTTGCTCGAGAGAAGAAGAGCTTTGTCTCTGGATATTACGAGGATATTAAATGTATATACAGAAATTTGTGAATATTATTAAGATTTTTTGAGAAAAACTTTATTAAAAAAACAACAAGGTGTAAATCTTTTTTTTTGTTTAAATCTATTTCTACTACACATTAAAAAACTATGTATTAAGGAACAATGTAATATTTAATTCTTTTCCAGTTTCGTGGATCTAAAAATAAATATCAACAATTTATGAAATAAGTAGGTACATAAAATGGCGGTTTTTGTTTGTGATAATAGATTTGATAACATTACAATAGAATACCAAAATAAACAAGATATAAATAAAATTGAAAATCTTCATTTACATAATATGACCTATTAAAATAGTTTTTCTTAAACAAATTGTTTATTTCTTGATAATAAAATTAAAATTTTGATCTATATCATAGAAATGAACATTCTATTATATTTTCTACAGTCAACAATTTCTCTAGCATTTGTTTTGGCAATTATTTAAACCGAAAAAATTTTCACATTAAACGTTTTAGTTTATTCATCATTTTTGTTCTACTTAAATTTATTTTTTACTGTTTCTCAAATTGTAAGAATAATATTAATTATAGATCCATATTTTAGCACATCTTTTATTAAAAAAATATTAATTGGTGATCACCCATTTTGGTTTAACCCCCCTAGTCGGCGCGTATGTTGTTGATTACTAGAATGCTTAATCTGATTAGCATTTTTTTTCTCTACTCTTTTTCCATAGTTTTGGCTGTAGTTTCTTTTTCCTGTTTTTGTAATGGGTTAATTTTTTTTAATTTTGCAAGTTCACCACATTCCGCGTACGTAAAAATAACAGAATGGATTGGACGGGATTGGAATTAAATATACAGGGTGTTATTGAAATACACGTACATATTAAAACTGGGTATTGCGCAGATCCCAACTGAATGTAGAAAAATATTATTTTTTAAAAATACCCCTTATTAAGGGAGTTATTAATTTTTGAAAATTAATTCTAAAACAAACGTACTTCACTGATATGTTGAGGATGACGTATATAAATTAGGTTTATTTACCTATTTTAAACATCAACAGTAATTAATATGCAAGTTTTTGTCAGATGATAAGAAAACTAGTCTTGTAAGAAATAACCATGTTGCCAAGATTTTCGAATTAATTTCTATTTCCGAAGACTGGTTTTTACTACCCTCGTTATCAAAAAACTAGAATATTTGATAAATGATTGTTTTTAAACTATACATTTTTGAAACTATAGATTATTAAAATTTTAGTTGATTTACGAATCTGGCTAACACGAGCGCGTCATTTCCAAGTTGGTAAAAAGTGTTGTTACAATTACTTTTAAATATTTTTTTACGATGCCACTATTTACGAATATTGAACTAACGGATATAGTGCTGGTTTATGGGGCAGCTGGAGAAAATTCTCGGCAAGCACAAATCCTGTATCGCGAACGGTTTCCAAATCGGAGAATTCCGGACTGTCGTACGTTTATTTCAACTGTTCAGCATCTAAGAGACCATGGAAAATTTGAGAGTGTCAATGCAGATCGAGGGAGAGAACACAAAGAACATTGGCGGCCGAAGAAGAAATATTGGAAGCTGTTGAAAACCGGCCTCAATTAAGTTGTAGAAGACTAGGTCTTGAAATTGGAGTGTCCTCATTTGTTGTGTGGCGGACACTTAAAAAACAAGGTTTACATCCTTATCACATCCAAAAAGTCCAGGCCTTATATCCAGGTGATGAAGAAAAGAGAGTGGAGTTTTGTGAATGGATGATTCAAAAATGTGTTGATATTCCTGATTTTCTAAAAATATTGTATACTGACGAGGCTTCATTCACTCGTGATGGCGTGTTCAATATGCACAATACGCATATTTGGAGTGATGAAAATCCTCACGCCATTAGGGAAACTGGGCATCAAAGAAAAGTTTCAATAAATGTTTGGGCTGGCATAATAGATCAGTATTTAATCGGGCCTTATGTTCTCCCGAACAGATTAAATGGGCCAGGATATCTCCACTTTTTAGAAGATATTTTGCCAGTACTCCTAGAAGAGATACCGTTACAATTAAGGCAACGGATGTGGTACCTACTAGATGGCGCTCCTCCTCACTTTGATTTAAACGTACGGCAGTTTTTGAACATTAGATTTCCTCAAAAGTGGATAGGCAGAAATGGACCTACTAAGTGGCCTCCGAGATCTCCGGACTTAAATCCATGCGATTTCTTTTTGTGGGGTCACATGAAACAACTGGTTTATAATGAACCTATTAATAGTGTTGAACAATTAACCAATAAAGTTAATGCGGTAGCCGAGGAACTACGACAAAAATCCAAGACTAATTTCTAATGTTCAAAGTTCTTTGGAAAGACGATTGCAAGTGTGTGTAAATAATAATGGACGGCATTTTGAACAATTACTGTAATAAACTTTATTTTGAATTAATTGGTTTTGCTACGGCAACAGTGCAATTTCTATGGGTTCAATTTCGATTTATTTTACTTCTTTAAATATGGAAACTAGTAGGTCGGAAAAGGGGACTCTTCCCCAATATTTAAATTTTAGAATTTGAAGTTAAAATTGGTGCCAATCGTTTTTGGTCATTACATACTATTCCCCATTTTAATATGTACGTGTATTTCAATAACACCCTGTATATTAGAAGGAAATATAAATATTTCTTTCCAATTTGTTGGGTATATCGGTTCTAGGAACATAATTTCGTAGTAGAGATATGCCTACTAAAATAAATACAATACTAACAACAGTTTTTGGTTTATACAGTGTTTACTAAATTGGCTACAAATGGAAACATTTTATAAGAAAAATATTCTTTATAAAAGTTCTGCATAGTCTAAAACCTAAAATTCGACCATCAAATATTAAATTGTTTGAGCCGAATGGGAGATGCGTCAAAATATATAAAGTTTGATAAGAGTAAAGTAGGTACCTACCTTTATTTTTTTACAAAACGTATAAATACGACTGATAAAATTTGGTATTAGATGATTGAACTTTATGTTTAAAGTCGTGAAGAACTTTTAAAACCTATAGACCAAAATGCTATCAGACTAACAAAATTATTTTACCGGAAAAGTCTTTTAGCTCATATTTTATCTAACAACGAAGAGAACATTGTAAAATTGTTAAAAACCATTAACTTGAAGGATGCTGTTTGTTTACTTGGAAAAAATCTCCTCTGAAGTTTTGCAGAAATGCTGGCACAAAATCACAAAATTATGGCTCATGAGTCAAGTAACGAACAAGACGCTGAATATGATGATCCAATTCCTCTTAGTGAATTGCGACGCAATCTGCTTTCTTTAGATGAAGACACGATCAATGTTCTAGCAGAGCAATTTCTTAAGAACTTAGAAATCCGTAATTGGCTTGAAAATGACGAAGACTTGTTACCGCTGGAAGATATAAATGCTACAGACGAACAGCAAGATAGTGACAATGAAAATCCAGAATTAAATAAATCAAACAAAACTGTTAAGAATGACGAAGCAGTAAAAAGTTTGAATTTGTGCATAAATTAACGGAAGAAAATAATATCCCGCTACATGACATTCTTGTACTTCAAAGCTAGAAGAAACGGCTTTTATAATGAATCAGAAAGTGGTTAGGCAATCAAAAATTACAAATTATTTTACAAAATAATATCATAGTCTTATTTTTTCATAAATATTGTGTATGTACATACTAGTTTCTAATTGTATTGTAATAAAGTATTCTCGTTTCATTAAAAAAAATCCGAATTAATCCGCATCGCCCCGGTTTTAATTAATCCGGATTAACGAAATTGCACTGTATTACAATATCACTCTTTATATGAGACTACTTCAATAAGAACGTGTGTCTTGAGGTACATGTAGTTTTGCCAACGTTCATCGTTCTGAAGGATTTCCTGTATAGCGTGCACTACCAGGTGAAAAGGTAATCCTTTTCACCTGACTTTTTAGTTCTGAAATTCTGGATAGAAATACTCCGTGTAAAAACAATATACATTTATCTATAATAACGAATCATAAAGAAATATCATAATTGGATTTAAATATGTTGGTTTGGTACTTCCCCAGATATACATTTTAACCTTGAAACGTTTGTCAAACTCGTCAAAATTTTGTTATGCAAATTAAATTTAAAAATTCAATACAGAGCAAAAAGCCAAAATTATAGAATGTTACTTCTGTACAGGTATGAAAGTAAATTGCGAGTGGCAATATTTAATTCCAGAATGCATGGATGATGTTTTGGAAGAACGTCCTGAGTTAGTGTTTGACTAAATCAACTGGATAATGAGTTATCACAAAATGGGTATTTTCAACAAGATGGTACACCAGCACATACGACCAGAGGAACAATTCAATATTTTGGAGAATTTTTTTATGATAGAATATTAAGCATCTCATATCCAACTAGGTCTTGTATTATTGTACACCCTTCGGGCCCTCGGTGCCAACATTCTAATCCTTCTGTAGCGTGGCAGCACTGCAGCCTATTGTACCACCATTTGAAGGTCCTATTACTTTCTTATTAACCAATTCACTCCCTCGTTCACCGACATCTTATTTTCAGGGTCGATGATAAACTTATTTTGCATGATGTCCATACCAAGGACTCACTGATCCTTAATATCGGTAACCAGAAATAGGTGTTCTATCAGGGTATTACCAATCTTTATGGTTGATGATATCTCGCCTGGAACAGGACTAGTGTGTCCTGTAGCTGTTTCCAGAACTAAGCTTCTTCTAGTTGGTTGTGGTTTTCGATGCAGGATCCCTGTTGGAATGAAAAACCAATATCATGGACAAAGGCGCCTTCTTGGTTATCGATGTACCCCTTCAACAATAAATTTTGTTCGTTTTTATTGAAGGTGTAAGTACGAATTTTAGGGCCCTCTGTTGCAGCCGACACCTGCCTTGTATTGTCGACCTTTATTCGTTTCCCTGATTATTGTTAGAAAGCAGGCTAGGTGTGGGAGACTGGCTTCTTCGGCCTTGGACTTCGTGATGAACTTCGGAAAGTTGATTTAGGTGAATTTCTAGCATCATTCCCCGATTCTCGAGTTATAGAACGAGCCCTGGTACGACAGTTTCTTTGAAGGTGTCGGATTCTTTCGCAATTGAAGCATCTTCTGCTTTAGTTTTCGATATTTCGTTGCATATTTTGCAGGATATTTAGGATTTCCAAGCGGGTAGATTAAGGAATAGTATTAATAGTAGCCTCTTCATTTTTCTAGAATGGAATTTCTCTCAATTTTGAACTAGAAGATCTAGATATAATTTTTGATGCTTCGTATTTCTAGGCTGTAATAAGTGTCTCACTCAACGGCTTGTGGTGTTGTAGCCGAAGAGCCTGCTGTATTTCCACATCCTGTAGTCCATCAATGAATGCCTGCATGCCGATTTGTTCTAAAAAAACTTTGGGCGCCTGTGGATATGCCAGATGTAGCAATTTTTTAATATCGGCCTCGAATGTTGTAGACTCTAATTGTGATTCTGACTACGAACTTTTAGCTGGTTTTGGAATAACTGTTTTAAACGCTCCTGGCCATATCTTGTCTCCAGAGCTTGGACAAGAGATAACTGGGTTCTTATGGGGAAAGTAACTGTCTTCGCAGCGACACTATCAATGAAGCCACTATCTCTTTCTCGGCCCAGCCATTGGCTTTAGCTGCAGCTTCAAATTGGGGCCGATATATTTACCATACTGTCTAACTGTCAAACGTAGGTGGCTTAAGAGTCTTGCTAGTATGGTTTTGTGAAACTGGGGTTCGAATGTAGCTTCATTCGATTACAGATGAAGACGAGGTAGTGTTTCAGTTTTAATGTTGCTTACTGAAGCATGGCTACAAATTCTTCTTTCTAACTCAGTTATTTAAGTTCTAATTTTTCTTTCCAACTCTACTCTAGCCTGTTTTTGTTGTTCTAAATTAGCTTCCAAATTCTCTTGTTGTTGCTGTAAATAAGTTTTTAAATTTTCTTGTTGATTTTCTAAATTATAGTCTTTAAATTATCTTGTTGTTGTTTCAAATTAGTTTTTAAATTCTCTTGTTGTTCTAAATTAGTTTTAAAATTCTCTAAATTAGTTTTAGATTCTTTTGCTGATGTTCTAATTTAGTTTTTAAATTGTTTTGTCATTGTGCTAAGAGATCTACTTGACTGTTCATAATTTTCACCTCTGCTCTTCTACGCATCTCTTTCTTCTCTTTTTCTTCCTTTCTACGTTTTTACTTTTTCTCATTTTCTTCTTTTCTGTGCCGTTCGTTTTCCTCCTCTTCTTCCTTCCTGCAACTATCCCTTTTCTGTTTTTCCTGCGCCTTTACTTTTCCTCCTTTTTTTCTTCCTGGGCCTTTCTTTTCCCTCCTCTTCTTCCTTACTGCTCCTATCCTTTTACTCTTCAAAAATGCTGAGGGATCTGAAGTATCTATGCCTGTTTCGTACTCAGGAGATCTAGTTTTTACCATGAACTTTTATTTTGTATCCCATCGCTCACCAATGTTACGTTGGTTTTTAATTAACTCAATTTATTAACATCTCAACTTTTATAATTCAAATATTAACTTTAACGTACAACGTCTGTTATCAAACAGATATGTGACATCAGGATCATCGACTTATATAGCTGACTTGAACATTCTCGAACCTTCTCGAACCGTCCAGATGTTTCTTGACACGAAATGATATTTCTAAATATTTCTAGGCTATTCTATTTTTTATTCGTACTTTTAATTTTGACAATCGCAGCACGCTGCTGAGTGATGGATGACATTGCACTTCTTCTTGGTGCGGAGTAACAATATAAACAAAGAATGCATTTTGTATTTGATAATGATTAGGAAATAATATTTTTTGTTAAAATTATGATTTATTAATAAATTGAAAATATTTATTAGGATATTAATAGTTTTATTAAAATTAGGCGTTATTAATAGATTAAATTATTGATTTGGGAACATATAATAAATGTCTTGTTAACATTAAAATTACATCACTTATGCCATATTTAATACAGTTACTTGTTAACTGTTGTATACATTTTCTAAAATTCCATCAAATTGTTCTTTCAGCTTTCAACGCAGCAAAAAAAGAAAGAAATATGTTCATATTTTCATAATATCATTGTGTTAATTGTTAAATTTTAATTGCTTAAATTGTCTTTTTTTTTTTCGTGCATTATGTAAACTATTTATTAACGTTTATAATAGATATATTATGCACGCGGACATATTTACATGAAACTAAATGCTTTAATTAACCCTCATAACATAATACAGTAGTAGAATGAATCAAACAACCAACAATTAGTGTCAGAATTTATATTGTTACGAAACATGTTGATGAAGTGAAGTAAGCAGCACATTGTTCTCTTTTGATCCTCAAGCGCTTATTTCTAGGCACGGAGCACGTGAGATTTCCATTGTCAATGTTGGCAATGCGCCTACCGGAAGTTAAGCGGGACGCAGTGACAGGAAGGGGGGTGGGTAAATAAGAAAAGACGGTCTCTTCTATTTCTGGATGCACTCGCTGATTGTCAACGATCTTTGAAGTCAGACCTAATTAACTTCGGATCTTTTTATAAGAGCTTCTTCATTGTCGACAAGTCGGATTTGCTGAAATAATAATAAAAAAATAGCATAATAAAGTTAAGAGGAAGCTTTTTTTTGTAAAGTATTAAGGATATTTTACGATTTTTAATTCAGGTTTCTGAATTAATTATTATTAATGCGATTATTTCTGAATGGTGAATGGCAATTATTATAGATGTTTCAACAACGCTCAAATTCCATTATAGCAACCTACCGAATGCACTGTGCAAATTCTAGTGAGAGAAAAAGCCAAAAACTGAACTTTAAAAATAAAAATTACCAACACAATTTTTTCTACTGCGGTTACATAAGTTTCGGTTGTTCCGGTGTCAACTTCTGGTCTTCGACGTCGCTCAGATGGTAGCTAGGGGGTGGATAGCTTACAAAATTTCTGAAAATAGTAGATAAATTGGAGTTCCTATAATGGCCAAACTATGATCTTATTTCCCCACATACCCAGTAAATAAGGAAAGAAATAAAAGACAAACTTCACACTTAAGTTCCTTTATAATGAATATATCCAATTTACCCAATGATTATCAATTTAAAAATCTTAATATATATATAAAATGCTAGCGTAGAATATGTGTGTGACCGGTTTTCTTTATCACCACCAACTCCAACAACATCACCATTGGGGTGGTAAACACCCCTTGGGTCCTAGAAGGAAGTAAGGGAGTTTGGGCGCGGTGGGTGGAAATGGGTGATTGTGGGAGGCAAAAATGTGATAAGATATATATCTGTCCTTTTCTAACTCATTAGAACTTCGGGAAAGTTCTGAAAATTTCTAGAATGATCTAGAAAGTTCCGAAATTAATATTATCCGTTATTATCATTCTGGAACGTTCCAGAAAATTCTAAAAATTTCTGGAATGATCTAGAAAGTTCAGAAATTAATCTGGAACGTTCCAAAAAATTCTAAAAATTTCTGGAATGATCTAGAAAGTT